TGACCCAGGGATTGAACCAAGGTCTCTGATGTCTCCTGCACTGGTAGGCAGGCTCTTTACCACTAGCGCCAGCTGGGAGGAGATGTCGTTGTTAGTCACTCAGTCGTGTCGGAGCTTAACTATTCCAGGCTGCGTTGCTCAGCCGTGTCCGACTCCTGCAACCCCATAGACTGGAGCCTGCCAGGCTCCTCTGTCCATGGGATTCTCCAGGCAAGAAGATTCAAGTGGGTTGCCATTTCCTTCTCCGGGGGATCTTCCCGACCCAGGGATCGAACCCTGGTCTCCTGCATTGCAGGCAGATTCAAAGAGAATATTGCTTGTGTCAGTCAGATTCTTTACCAACTGAGCTAGGAGGGAAGCCCAATAGGCTGCCCTTGTTCCATGATAAAATAATGCCTCCCTTTTAAGTAGAGAACTGTTTTAATCAGGCTCAAGTTCAGGTGTCAAAATTTGTGGCTGAAAATGGAAATGGGAAAACTACGACTCTCTTTTGCTTTTCTGTACACGATATAGTCAGATACTCCTCTCACCTCTCAGAAGACTCAAGAATCACCTCCTGACATGTCAGGGCCTTTCAAAAGCCATTTGTTAACAAATGTTTGCTGGAAAGTGATTTGTGTTCTTAATTCCAAGGGAGGTGCCTTCTCCTTTAAATCCTAAACACACTGAAGCCCAATTTGGTCATAAAGGGAACTTTTTCTTGAAGAACTTCTTTTCCGTGATGTTTGCTGTTCTCATAGATGAATCATTAACTCCACTAAGATTAGCCTGCTAGTGTAATCCAAACCAAATTAGTTTCACTAATGGTTCAAAGGATATATTAGAACTATTGTGTTGTATTGTCCTTACGTAAAAAATTTCATATTGAAAAGACAGACCAAAAAAAAAAAAAAGAAAAGACAGACCATCCACATAACTTCGGGTAGATTTGCAGTTATGTTCACATGTCTTTTTTCCTTAGTTCTCTTTGTAAAGGAAAAAAAAAGGAACAAAGAGTATTGCTCATCATGCAGTTATACTAAGGGTTAAATTGCAACCCCCTGCAGAGAGTGATATTCCCTAAGTGTTTCAGGACCTCAGGAAGGAAAATAAGAGTGAGGCATTATGTGTTTTGGATCAGTGGCCCCTAGATAGCATGTTTCAAGGAGAATTACAGTGGTCCCAGATTCCTGCAACTTTTTGTACACAGAAATCACTAAAATCATTAACTTGAAGTATCTGTTCTTTGTGATTAGCAGTAATCTTTTATGCTAGACTACGGGCTTCCCTAGTAGCTCAGCGGTAAAGGAGACACAGGTTCAATATCTGGGTGGGGAAGATCCCCCTGAAGGGGGGCATGGCAACCCTCTCCAGTTTCCTGGAGAATCCCTATGGACAGAGGAGCCTGGCGGGCTACAGTCCCTAGGGTCGCAAAGAGTCAGGCACGACTGAAGCAACTTAGCATGCATACACACGCTAGGCTACATATTTTTCCTAGTTAAAAAAAAAAGATCTTAGGTATACAGAACATACATATTTGAAGCATTTTCCCGGAGCTATGCTCTGAAAGGCTGTGCCCCTAAAAGGCTCTCTCCCAGGCTATCATCCTCAGGAGGTCCCCAAATAAAATTGAAACTCATAACTCTTAGGTTGTGTGTTTTCCTTTAGGTCAACACCTTTGTATGCATTTTCCCATTCAAAAAAAAAAAAAAGGTTTAAGAAAATTATTTGAAAATGCAGACCTATGGGATAGAGGTGGGATACTGAATCCATGCATCTGCTTTTATTCCTTCCTGAAACTCCACCAAAACAACAACAGGATTTTTAAAAGCATAAAGGAAGGACAAAAGACCAGAATAAAATTTCTAAATCAAGAAAGCAGATGGGCAAGTGGTGAAGGATTTTGCAGACTGAAGAAAGCTAAATTCTAAACCAGCAATGGGGAAGCCAATGAGCAATCCTACTTGCAGTGTAGAATTCCCCAGGGCTCAGAGGTTAGCAGCACCAGGTATCTATGGGAAATGGAAGGGTCTTGTCTAAATTAAGGCAATTGTTTGAAATTCTGATTCCTGAAAAGCTAAGTTCCTGATCCCTTCCCCAATTTCCTGCCCTTCATGGCATCAGCAGACGTTTGGGGGTTTATTCCCTGGAGAGGGTACAGTCTTTGGACTGGGAAGATACAGTTCACAGTTGGGGATGGGAGTACCATACTGAAAGTACGGAAATTAACTGAACATAAGCAAATGAACGCTGGCACCTTCTTCCGCTTTTATCCTTTTCTCATGTGAGTATAGAATGATGGTCCCAAGGACTCAAGCTTTCAGCAGGAATTAGAAGGTCCATTTATGGAAAGTCTTGAGTCTAAAATAATAATAATAATAATAATAAAGATCATAATATCTAAGTTTCCAAATGATACCTGCTCACATCATTCTACAGTAAAGCTTAGAGTCAGTAAGCTCCATCCACAAACTTAACCTTATAATCATCTTTTTGGTATTTACTCTTAAATGTGAGTAGGTAATGGGGCTTCCCTGGTGGCTCAGTGGTAAAGAATCCACCTGCCAAGCTGGAGATGCAAGCTCAATCCCTGGGTCAAGAAGATCCTCTGGAGAAGGAAACGGCAACCCACTCCAGTGTTCTTGTCTGGAAAATTAAATGGACAGAGAAGCCTGGCAGGCTACAGTCCATAGGGCCACAAAATCAGACATGACTGAGTGACTAAGAAATTGCTAGGCATTTAAGGACAATCACTAGTTTGGAAGACAGAAGACAAAACCAACAGAAAAAGTGACTCAGTAACAAACCATGCAGGTAAATAAAAGAAAATATTATAGCCATTCTGTACATAAAATGAGAATAAAACAAAATGAAAAGAGAGCATCTGAAACAAAAAGGAGCTCTTAAGAAGTAAAGACTTGAAAGCAGGAAAGAAAAACTAAATAGAAAGATAAAAATAAGGTGATCTCTCAAAAAACAGGGCAAAACGATGAGGAGCTGGAAAATAGAAAAAATATGAGCAGTTTACAGTATTGGGTCAGGAGATTCTATTGTTATTGTTGTTTAGTCGCTCAGTTGTGTCTTACTCTTTTGGGACCTCATGGATTGTAGCCCGCCAGGCTCCTCTGTCCATGGGATTTCCCAGGCAAGAATACTGGAGTGTACTGTCATTTCCTTCTCCAGGGGATCTTCCCAATCCAGGGATCGAACCTGTGTTTCCTGCACTGTAGGCAGAGTCTTTACCACTTGAGCCATTTGGGAACTTCTACAACCACATATAAGGGGTCTGAGAAAGAGAAATAGCAAAAAACGGGGGGATCAAAATCATCTGAATAATTCAAGACTTCTTCCAGAATTGAAGAATATGAGCTTCCGGATTAAAAGAACTACACCAAACAGATGAAAGTGGATCCAGAGTAAGGCGTAGAACTATGAAATTGCGCAAACTAAGGGACATAGAAAAGCTTTGCGAGAGAAAAATATTGGCCACGTGGAAAAAGCATCCGAATCCGAATGTCTTTGAATTTAAGCATTAACTCTGCAAGCTAGATAATAAGGGAATGATTTCTTCAGAATTGTGAGTGAAAATGTTTTCTGCCTGAGAATTCTTACCCAGCAAAACTATGCATCAAGGATGGGGCATGCTCAATGGCTCAGTCGTGTCTGACTCTTGGCAACCCCATGGATGGTAGTCCTCAGGCCCCTCTGTCCATGGGATTTTCTAGGCAAGAGCACCGGAGTGGGTTGCCAGTGGGTGGGGAATAGTGTGAAGATATTTTATACATGCAAAGTTGCAGAAGAAGCCCTTTTCTCCCATACACCCTTTCTCAGAAAAGCTGCTGAAGGTTATACTTTACCAATATAAGGGTGATAACAAAAAAAGGGGGGGATAGCCAATTAAGGAAATAGGGGATCCAGCACAAGATAAAAAAGAAAGCTTCAGGATGATGATCAGGAAAGATCCCAGAAGCCAGCTGTGTACCAGGAGAAGAGAGCATCCACGTTAGAAGGCTCTTCTAAGGTGACATTGATAGGATATCTGATAACTGAGGACACTGAGCGTGTACTGATAGGAGATTGGGAGAACTTAGCATTGAATTAGTAATAAATACATAGAAATGTTATAAATGAAAAAGCCAGACAGTTATTAACTATAGAATAAAAAAGTTGTACAGAACAGGAAAAGTTATCATAGAATTCTACATGGCTTAGCTGAGAGTAGTATTTCTCTAGTCATTGAAATGTGTACTTGAAATATTTAATCACAAATATGCTATGTGTGTATGGATACAATAAGAAAAATGAGAAGGGGGTGTGTGTCTGTGTGTGTGTTGGCAAGTTGAAAGAGGGCTAAATGCTGATATTTTCTAGATGCTTCCTAGAAGTGAAAAATTAAGATATAAAATAAGCATGGTATTTGAGCTGTGTTTTGACTTATATGTCAATATTAAGCTAAAAGAATTAAAGATGGTTGCCTCTCATTAGAAATGGGGACTGCTGCTTTCATAGCTCTGTTGAACTCTGAATTGTGTACAATATAATATTGGTTAAAAACAATAAGTAAACATTAAAAGAAATTTTAAAAATTAAAGAATGAGATGTTAAAGGGACTTCCCTAGTGCCTCAGTGGTAAAGAATCCGCCTGCCAATGCAAAATAATGAGATGTTAGAAAAAATTCTCAGCTAACAAAAGTTATACTGCCTGTTTATTTTTTTTTATCCTCTCTCTCTTTTTTAAAAAATTAAACTCTTTTACTCTAAGATGTAATTTAGTTTATTTAAAGATTCTTCCTAAGATGGATTATGAGGTATGCCTTTACCATCAACTCACTGAAAAGTAATTTTTGTGTGACTTTTCCTTGAATGTTGAAATATTTTTTAAATGCTACACTGCTGAAAATATTAGGATTTTATTTCATTTATCATAGAATTGAAATGCCCTTAAATGACAGCATTACAGACATTTTTCATTTTTAGGCACTGGGGACATTGGTTTGTCAGCCAGAGTCATCTACAAAACAATGGGCGATACAAGAGCGGTGCTTGACAGCGAAGAGTACCCCAACAGTGAGGTTCAGAAAAGCCGAGTGCTGACTCTGGAAGAATGGCAGGAAAAGTGGGTGAATCACAAAATTGGATTTCATCAAGAACAAGGACATCAGTAAGAAATGTTTCTGTTTTTATTAAATGCTAATCTATAACAGAAATGCCCCATCAGAAACTGACTTTGGAAATAGAAATAGTAATATAGGTACACATTATTATACTCATTTTTAAGATGCACAGGTTTAGTTTTTCACATTTGAGCATCTCTGAAGTCAGAATGCATCTGTGGCATGTCATGGTTTAATTAGCAGTGATATTTCTTCCCATGGAGTATAAATCATGGTGCGACCTACAGTTGATGGTCTCTTCAATTTCTGAAATATGTCTTTCTTTAATCCCCTGTAACATCTATTTGTTGGTCATGTGTGTTTATACATACCCAGATGCTCAAGCTATATTAATTCTGCTATCTGTTTATATTGAAGAGTAGTGGTGTTGTGACTTTGCTTTCCAATAGCATATGTTCAAATGTTAAAGTACTGTCTACATGGTGGAAGAAGAGAAGTTGAGAGAAATGAATGTGAGCTAAACGCTGAGCAATGTAATAGTAGTAGAAGTCAGCTTTGAAGCAGCAGCAACAAATGGCCCATTGCCGAGTAAAGTGGTCATGACAGATGTTCCTTCGTCCAGGCAGCCACCCTGACTGCCCAGAGGACACTGTTATTATTATTACATTTGCACACCTAGTAATAGTTGGGATATCATTCCAGAACCATTGTATGAGTTATCTCTGTCTTGTAGCTGGCCCCAGAACATACACACAGATGGTGGTGGTTTAGTCGCCCAGTGTGTCCGACTCTTGCGATCCCATGGACTGTGTAGCCGGTGTGGCCAGGCTCCTCTGTCCATGGGATTCTCCAGGCGAGAATCCTGGAGTGAGTTGTCATTCCTTCTCTATCACATAGGTATACATTTTTAAAACATATCAACTAATGAAAAATAAAATTTTGTTTTTAATTACTAACCAGGAAAATCCCAGATTTTGGGTCAGGTTAACCCCTCACTAGTGACATGACTGAGTGAGCTGCTTAATTTTCCTGTTTTCTTCATATGTAAATTGGAGATTTTAATAACCAAGGTTCTCTACTGAGTAAAAGTTGTTGGGAAATATTATGTGAGATAATGCATGAAAAGTACTTAGCATTGTATGATTGTAGTCCTTTCCTCTGTGCCTTGGGCTAATTAAAACATTTTTTTTTCTTCCCAGGCTATTAAAGAAGTATTTGGATACTTTTCTTAAAGGCGAGAAAGCCCTGAGGGTATTTTTCCCCCTTTGTGGAAAAGCAGTTGAGATGAAATGGTATGAGCAGATAAGCATGAACATACTTTCTTGTCTTGATGATAAATACTGTGCGTGAATATTTAATAGGATGTAAGTTTAAAAAGTTCCTTTCTCAGGAAATGTACAGGGATTCTATATTTAGTAGACCATTACTGATGGGTTCATAGGGGTAATATTCTCAAACAGTTAAGACATTGCCGAAAAAGAGGGGTGAACTTGTCTTTCTGTATTGAGTTAAGAAAAAGAATTAGTTTAGAATGATTGAGATGGGAAAGGGGAAGATGGAACCAGTCTTCCATCTTAAATCTCCTTCACCTTTGTGCATGGTTTAGTTTTTGTAGGTGTTTTAGGAATGTGGCTAAGTTAATTTTAGATATTTTAAAGAGAGGTGGACAGAAAAATGAATTACAGCTTTTTGGCAAGAATGTGTATAGTTCACAGTTCAACTCAGCCCTTCTCTCCCTCAACCAGCATGTAGGAGTTTTTGTTTCAATGAATCATTGCTAATAAAACCAGTGATAAAAGAACGTGTTTCTTGTGAGTAATTCTCTGTGAAAAGAATTCACTTTAATTAACAAGCCACTCTCACTACAGGTTACCCTAAAGTCACAAAGCTGACAATTGTTTCCTATACAGAATTTGTTGTAATGATTGATGGACAGACACTATCTTATGTGCCAAGACGTACTATTCATTTATAAGCGTGAACGCTGAGAACTTTGATCATCAAGCAGGAAAGAAAAATAAAATATATGAAAACGATTAGTAAGTGAAAAATACAGTAACTTAAAAATGCTCTGTTCTCTATGCAAATATAGGTGGCCAAACCACAGAATATGTATGCATTGGGAGTGGATTTCTGAGTGGGGACAGTGACATTTTTGCAGCCTGCCACCATTCCCGCAACTTGTAGCTGAGAGATTTTGTGAGTGGCTGCTGTGGCTTAAAGAGTCTAGGTGGCCACGAAATTGAGAACATTACATCCTAACCAACTCACTGAATCAGACAAGACAATTACTTTGGAAACTACCTGCAAGAAAAGCATTAACTCTATGAACAGATTGTCTTACTGTCATAAGTGATAACAACCTAGTTCTAGGAGAAGCTTTGAGGCAAGATCAGAAAACAGTACAAGGAAACAGCTGATTAAATGTGATTGCTGAAGATTGCTTTAGACTTTAGGGTCTAAAGTCATTTGTAATAAGAATGCCAGAACTAAGCTACTGTAATTGTATGGGCTTTCTAGCTGGCTCAGTGGTAAAGAATCTGCCTGCCAATGCAGGAGTCATAAAAGAGGAGGGTTTGATCCCTGGGAGGGGAGGAAACCCTGGAGTAAGAAATGGCAACCCGCTCCAGGTTGCCTGGAATGTTCCATGGACAGAGAAGCCTGGTGGGCTACAGTCCATGGGGCTGCCGAGAGTTGGACATGACTATTATTGTATAAAAGTTGTTGTATTAGAGGATTTTTCACTTACCTAATAAATTTGTGTTTTAAAGGTCTGTACAGATACCCAGTGTGAATAGATAATCTATTAGCTGAAACTCAAAAACAATAACAGAGTGTTTAGGACATTTTTTTAGATTTTGGGTTTTCTTAGGGCAATGTATTACAGTATAATCCAGTCTGCACAAGTCTACAGTAGGCTATGCTTCATTTTTCCACATGAAAAAATTTGTACTTTTTGACTTCCTTCACCCATTTCACCCATCACTCACCCCCAGGCTCTGGCAACTATCAGTCTGGCCTCTGTGTCTATAAGCTTGTTTTTGTTTTTGTTAGATTCCACATGTAAGCAAGATTATATGCTGTTTTTCACTGATTCATCTAACTTAGCATAATACCCTCAGAGCCCATCCATGTTATCATAAATGGCAAGAGTTCAATTATTTATGACTGAATAATATTCCACTGGGACAGTAAAGTTTTTTTAATGTGTACCCCCACTCCCATCCCCATAAACTTCATGATTTTGTTGCATGATTTTGCATGGTGCAGTGATTTTTAAGAAGGTATGTATTGCATTATAGCATAAATGACTTAGGTGTTTATTTACTGTGGCATAAAAACCAATAATGTACCTGGGTATTTGTGCCACGAGTGTTGTTCTCTCTGAAGTCTAAGATCCCAGACTGAATTCTGTAACCATAATGCTAATTAGGAAAATGCTAGCTATTTGCATATGGTAATGAGATAAATTTCTGGATAGGGTTTAGTGTAAATAAGTGGAAATTTTAACACTGTTACAGAAATGGATGCTAATGTTCTAGAGCGGTGTACTCCAGTACTATATCTACCAGCCCCACGTGGCTGTTTAAACTGGATCATACAAGCCATGTCTCAAGGGCCCTAGGCTATGTGGTTAGTGGCTGCTGGGTTGAACAACACAGGTAGAGAGACTTCTCTCATCACTGAAAGTTTTAATGGACAGAGCTGATTTCAAGAAATTAAAAAGCATATCAAATTCATAGGATGCTATTAAATCAAAAACTCTTCCAATCCAGTCCATTGGTAGTAAATCAACATTTTAAGGTATAATTTTCCAAGCTTTTAAATTTGCCCCCAGGTCCTATAAACCCTTTCCTCAGAACTCCACATAGCATAGGGTTTGCGAATATATAGATTATATTATATAGAATATATAGAGAATATGTAAATCTACTCTCTGTGGATCTATGTGTTCTGTGAAACCCTATGAGTCTAAATTCATGCAAATCTCTTAAAATTAAGGAAAATATATGCTCATTGTTGTATATCCTTTTATTTAGCATTGTACTCGAAAGAAAACTTTAAGTGTAATTATATGATTTTCTGCAGGTTTGCAGACCGAGGACATAGTGTAGTAGGCGTGGAAATCAGCGAACTTGGGATACGGGAATTTTTTATGGAGCAGAATCTTTCTTACTCAGAAGAACCAATTATGGAAATTCCTGGAGCCAAAATATTCAAGGTGTGTTTCAGTTTTGGCAAATGTTATTTCCATACCCCCCAAAAAGGTTTTCCTCAGCATGAGTAAGTGAAGACACTATACATGTCAGCTGACCCCTCTTAATCATCAGATTCACTGGGACTTTACATAGCATAAGGAGCAGAAAAAAGAAAAATCATAGTTGTTTTTGGTTTGCATTTGTTGGCTTTTTAATTTATCAACAAATGTTTCTGAGAACCTGTCTTGTGCCACACCCTGCATGAGACACTAAAGAGATGAAAACTGTCCCTGCCCTAAAGAATCGCTTAGCTTAGGAGGAAAGAGAAGAGGAGGAGACCGTCATACGGGAGCTCGGTGAAATGACTTGGGGTATTAAGCAAACCGAGGGGGAAGTTTCCTAACGCAGCCTCTGGGGAGCTTCCCGAAGTGTGGTGACAGTTAGGGCTGGGACAGGCAGGGCATCAGGTCAGCCAGCTCAGATGCCCTGTGAGGCTGGTACCTGGTTTTAAGCCAGGTTTTCTTTTGCAACCAGCCACGGTGGCTCAGATGGTAAAGCATCTGCCTGCGATGCAGGAGACTGGGGTTCGATCCCCGGGTGGGGAAGATCCCCTGGAGAAGGAAATGGCAACCCACTCTAGTACCCTTGCTGGGAAAATCCCATGGACAGAGGAGCCTGGTAGGCTGCAGTCCCTGGGGCCGCCAAGAGTCGGACTAGACTGAGCAACTTCACTTTCACTTTCACCCTTGTAGCCTCAAGGGAAGTGAGTTTGAAGGGCGGTAGCCCCCTGGCAGAGAGACTAGATAGGAGGTTGTGAGCAGTGGTCCAGGAAAGAGAACTTGAAGGGCTGCACGAGGAGAGCAGTGGGGTACTTAGAGGAACAGATGGCTTAAAGCCATGTTTAAGGTGTCACACTGGGAAGTCTTTGGTGATTAACTGAGTGGGAATCCAGAGGGTGATGAGGTGACATTTCTAGCTCACATGACTGGTTGGGTGGCAGAGAATCAAGGAGAAACAAGTTAAAGAGCAGAGAAAATGAGCGTTGTTCTGGAGATGATCAGGTGAAAAGATGTGCGGTATGGTAAGGGGGTACTGGCAACTGTCTCCGAAGCACGGGGCAGCGTCCGGGCTGGAAATGATAGATTTGAGAGTTGTCTTCCTCCTGTGACCAGAATGATCCAGTGAAACTGCTGCACTGGCTTGGAGTAATAATGTGGAAATAAACAGAATCCACCCGAATGAGAACAAGTAGAGACTGTTTGTTCAGAGGGAGTCAGCCAATTGCATTTGGCAGAGGCTCAAAGCCTGGCAGTGGGGTGGGAAAGCTTCCTGGTGAAAGATGTGAAGGCTTCAGGTGCTCTCGGCTAACAGCACCCCGGTGACTGCTTTGGGAAGCATGTTTGAGTTGGAAGAGGGGGAGGAGAGGTGGTGATGTAAATCAGGGAGGATGGCGGTCAATTGACCACTGTCCTGCAGGGTTGTGGTCTGACTTCCTGGGCTGCTTGCTGCAGAGGCTATGTATCCAAGTTCTTTTATCAGACATGAGTTGTTGGTACGTGCAGTCTGGCCACCGTGTGTTTGTACATTCAGTCTCTCTCAACGTACTCGCTTCTAAAGATTGAAATTAATCGCTCAGGTCAGTAGGAAGCTTGAGAGTATTTTACAGCTTCTTCCAAGTTCATTCTTAGATCATCTAAGAATCCCAGTTGCCTCGGTCCAGAGAGGCTAGTCCTCCTGGGGGCCATGGTTCTCAGCCCTGCTGGCACCTTTGAAATTGTCTGTGGATCTTTTAAGATTCCCAGTGCTCAGGCTAATTAAATCATAACCTCTCAAGGTGGGGCCTGGCATCAGGTCTGTGTAAACCTCCCCTGTGAGTCCCATCTGCAACCGGAGTTGACATTCATGGGCTGTTCTTCTGGCCTCTAGACCCCTCCTCCCTGTGTTTCTAGATGGGTCTGCAAAGACCTGCTCGCCCCTCATCGCAGCCTCTGTTGGCACCTCATTTCAGAATAAAATCCAGTATTTTCAGGTCCTTTACCTCCTACCCTGCCCCTCCCCCAGCCCCAGGCTCCTCGCCGCCCACCCCCGCAGTGTCAGCAGATGCATCTAGCCGGTTCCTCTGCCTTCCCCAAGCGAGGGCAGTGAAGTGAGGTCCCCGCTCTGTTCCCACAGTTCTGGGCACACAACCAGAAGAGCACAGCCCATCCTGTGCCGCGGTGGCTCTCTGTTCCCACGCCTCCCTGCCTCACCAGGCCGTCCTCACCGGGGTCAGAGCCTGCATCAGATTCACTGCAGTATCTAGAACCCGGGCTAGCCCTGTCCACTAGACGCTTGGGAAATAAATGCTCATTGGCCAGTGAAAGAAAGAGAAAAACAGGGGAGTCAACAGAACTGCAGTTTTAAAATGTCTGCCTGAAAAATAAAATAAAATGTCTGCCTGGTGACTGAGCGATTTGTGTGCTGGTCTTTAGGGAGTTAAAATGTCAAGATTCTGCTAAACGAAACCTTGCTAAAATTTAACAAGTTCCAGAAGTGAGTGAGTGCTGACTGATCTTCAGGGTTAACCAGTCTCTGATTTTCCTTTTTGAGTTGATCCCAAAGAATCCCATACTGGTTTTTAATTTTTTTAAGTACCATTAAAAATTATTTTCAGTTAAAAAATATTTGTGAAAGTTGCAAGGTGCAGGAAGTGAGAGGGAAAAAATGGAGAGGAACTCACCAAAATGATTGAAAATCACTGTTCAGATGGTGGCAGGCAGGTTTTTTATTTATTATGTAAATTCTTTATAATATGGTCCATATTTATTTTATAATTTAAAAAATAAACATGTAAAAAATGATGTGTAAAGATGGTTTGCCATGAAAGTATATCCTTTATGTTTAATTACATATTCTCGCCCTACTACCTATGCTCTGTTTTGTCCCCTCTTTTTCTTTTTTTTTTTCCTCTGACCATTCAGGTACCTCCTAATAAAGTGGATATTTTTTTTTTACTTTTTCATTGCAGAGTTCTTCAGGGAACATTTCATTGTATTGCTGCAACCTTTTTGATCTTCCCAGGTAGGACTGATGTCTTCCTCTCCACTTTTAAAAATTTGAGTGTTTGCTGGACAGTGATGAGGTAGGTTAAGAATCTTTTTATCACTTCCATCCAATTCGCAGTAGCATCCAAGAAACATTCATTTGAGTCTGGTTCTGCAGCTGTTTTTACTGGAGCCTACATGTCTGCACATGTGATATCTTTGTCCTTGGGTAACTTCTAAGCTCTGGAAAAATTATTTTGATCCTTGGAAGGTAGGGAAAAGGAGGGGAAGAAAATGTCTTCCACTTCACACCTGTGTCTGTAACGGAAGTGCATTTCAGTCTCAGATGGACAGAGGGGAGATCTCTTCTGAGAGTTCCTGATACCTGTTCCAGGGGCTGAGAGCAGAGTTGTTGCAAACAGTTTCTTGTGCTTCCTTCGTGCTCCCAAGTCCAGGCTGCTGCTGCAGTGCCTAGAAGTAGGCGGAAATGGACAGCTGCACACACACACACGCGCACGCACACACACACGCACACACGCGTCAGCACATCCCTAGAGATTCTGACGGAAAGCATCTATGAGATCCCACTTCCTTAACCGCTGGTGAGGTTCCAGCACATACTGTGGGGAACCCTGTCTTGTTAAAGATTCGGTTATTCTTACAGAATTTTTTTTTTCTTTTTTTTTTGGTAGAGCAAATATTGGCAAATTTGACAGGATTTGGGATAGAGGAGCCTTAGTCGCTGTTAATCCAGATGATCGCAAACGGTTAGTGATTTGCTTTCTTTAATTATGTTGTTTCCCACCCCCCTCCTTTTTAGTCTTAATTCAGTATCTAATACTTTTTCTGGTTTCTAGAAGATTCATAGACTTTTACTAGTTTGGAATAGGTTGTTGTATTTGGAAGTAGAAGACCTGTATCCAACAGTATCTTGGTCTAAAAAGTATAGGATTTGGCCACGGGACACAGGTGCAAGACTTGTGGCTCTGTCACTTCTAAGCTGTGTTACCTTAGTCAGAACATTCAGTTCCTCTAAGCCTCAGTTTACTCCTCTGTAAAACTGTAATTTTTCTACTCATACCACTCTCATCACTTCCACTGACCCTACCAGCTAATAATATTTGTTGGATTCTTGCCATGTGCCAGACTTTGTTGAAATACTTTATGTCAATCAACAAGTTCATCCACAAAGTAGCCCTGTGAGGTAGTAAGCTGTCATTAGTCCCATTTTACAGATGAGGAAAGTAAGGTCAGAGAAGTTAAAAGTTATATGTCTGTAGAGTGGCAAGCAAGTGCATGACAGAATTGAGATTCAGGGACTTCCCCACTGGCCCAGGGATTAAGATTCTGCACTTCCACTGCAGGAGATCCCTAGTGTAGGAACTAAGATCCCACACACTTTGCAGTGCAGCCATAAGATAAAATAAAATAAATAAAAATAGTTAAAGCCACGCCCACGCCTCAGCCCCCTCCTGTGGTTGTTGTGGGAATGGAAAGAAATGACATGTGCAGAAAGTGCCGTGTCAACCCTAAATGACAGTTTAAATATTAGCTGTTACTGTATTAGGGCTTTTGATCTGGATATTTTGAGTGGCCATTCATCTGCACCTGCTCTTATTAGAAAATTAAACTATGAGAAGGCGTATTGAGTAAAATGTGATCTTTCCTGTGCACTTTCCAACCCAGATGTCATTCACAGACTTATCTGGGTGTGGCACATAAATACTGAATTATTTAGTTTTATGGGGGCAGACTCATAACACATGGCAAAAAGGGTTGGGACTATACATCAGTGAAAAGAAATCTCAGATTTTAAAAGCGAATTGTTTGACGAATTCCGTTTGTTGCCACACCTCATCTGTTTTTAATTAGACAGTGCCACATCCTCTTAATATGTATTTCCCTTTTCTTCCTGACACTGCGCCTCTCTTCTTCCTTCTCTGGAGCCCTTCCCTACCTCACGTGCTTGGAAGTCTTCATTCTCTGAGGGACCATCCTTAGTGGGACTGTTCCTGCCTCCCTCCTATACTCCCTCCTCCAGTGATCGCTTCAGTTCTCCTGTTACTGGAAGCTTCCGTTCCAGTGTTCAGCAAATACGCATTAAGTTCCACACGATGCTGGGGAAATAACTGAACAAGCGCGCGTTGGTATTGGCCCTCGTCATTTCTGTATTTCCGGTTCTGTTCTTTTCCAGAAGGTGCTATGGAAAAACCCAAACAAACTTTTTGGCCAACCCCAAATAGATATAAAATGTTAACGCATAGTAAATGAAAGTGAAGGTGCTCAGTCATGTCTGACTCTTAGCGACCCCATGGACTGTAGCCTACCAGGCTCCTTCATCCATGGGATTCTCCAGGCTTCAAGAATACTGGAGTGGGTGGCCATTTCCTTCTCCTAATGCATAGTAAAAGTTTAATAAATATGTGTTGAGTCGATAATTGAGAACAAATTAGACTCAAAGCCAGGGAAATACACTGTTTCCCAGCAGCCACTATTGCCTCCTCTGTCCTTGAAATGAAGGCCTTCCAAGTGGCCCTTGAACCCTTTAATTCACGGTAAGAAAGTCATGAGGCTCCTCCAGAGCTCTTAGAGAATCTGGGTCTAGTTTGGCCACAGACTCTGTATTCCTGGTGCCCTTCTGCTCTTCTCCCCTTTTGGCCACCTGTGTGTGTGTGAGTGTGTCTGTGGTCACAGCCCCAGGAACTCCTGAGAACACTTGGCCTTTGTTTCCGGAATAACTGTTTATTTTGAGCCACCGGACAGATCCACGACTTTATCTTACATTTAAGGTACTTAGTGCTTTATCCCAGTCCTGCCCTCAGTACTGGGTGTCTTCCTGCTGAGATTACATGTGGGCAAGAACTGCTGTGTTTTCTGCTGTGACTCTTAGGCCTTTTGTCTGACATCAATCATATCTCTCGTTTTTCTGAATTTTTGAAAACGAGTTGAGAGAGAAAGTCTGCATTTCGAGAAGAAGGATGCTGGTGAGCCCCAGGACACCCTGCCGAACCCGTCTGACTCATCACTTCATGGGGACAGCAAGTTCTTTCTTCCTAAAAATGCGAATCGGAAAGTTAAGAAGCAAAGGTTTCGGCTCAGAAGTTTGCTTAGGGCTGGTTCTTTCACTTGCAAGGAAGAGCGACCAGCTCAGACCAGCTCGCGTTTTAGAGGAGTTTATGTCGTGGATGCTGAAGGAAGAAGTCACTGACTCGAGGGCCTACTACATACTGGGCAGTGTTCTAAGCACTTTCTATGTGTGAGCTCACTGAATCCTCACAGCCGCCTCTGCGTTCATTGCTAGTCTTATTCCCATTTAACAGATGGGGAAACTGAGGCACAAAGGGGTAAAGACTTTGTCAAGCTTACACACAGCCAGTGTGCTTGGGGACTTTGCGGAGCCCATTCTCCTAATCCCGACCCTGAACAGCCTCCTTGATTTCTCCCAGGGCTCCAGACAGGGCTGGCAACACATCTGGACCCGATGGAAACCTGGACGCCAAGTGCCAGAGCTCCTCCCCCAGAGGTCTGCAGCCTGTTGACCTGTCTGTCAACAGAGGTCTGCAGCCTCTGTCTGACTGTCTCTCACGGGCACTCACCTCCTCGTGTGCATCTGCTCTGTCCTGCCTCGGCACTCGGCTTTCTCCACTGACACACCCCTGTTCACACGTATCTGACTCACAGCCCTTAGCTTTCTCAGTTCCAGCCACCGCCCAGCACAGCAACTCCAGTGTTTAGTTCAAAGACCACAGCGAACCATCAACTCCTCTTTTTTTTTTTTCTTTTCTTTTCAACTTTTTATTTTATATTAGGGGCTTCCCTGGTGACTCAGTGGTAAAGAATCCACCTTCCAATGCAGGAGACACAGGTTGAGTCCGTGGGTCAGGAGGAGCCCCTGGAGAAGGGAATGGCCAACCCATTCCAGTATTCTTGCCTGGAGAATTCCATGGACAGAGGAGCCTGGTAGGCTGCAGTCCGTGGGGTTACAAAGAGTCAGACACGACTTATCCACTAATAACAGCAAACAACATTTGATGTTGGAGTATAGCCCATTAACAATGTTATGATAGTTTCAGGTGAATAGCAACAGGACTCAGCCATCCATATACATGTATCCATTCTTCCCCAAACTCTGCTCCCATCCAGGCTGCCACATAACGTTGACCAGAGTTCCCTGTGCTATTCGGTAGGACCTTGTTGGCCATCCATTTTAAATCCAGCAGTGCGTCCATGTCCATCCCAAACTCCCTAACTATCCCTTCCTCCATCCTTCCCCTCTGCTCCCGGTAACCGTGAATTTATTCTCTTAAGACTTCGAGTCTGTTTCTGTTTTATAAATAAATTCATTTGTATCATTTCTTTTTAGATTCTGTATATAAGGGATGTCATAGGCTATTTATCCTTCTCTGTCTAAGTGACTTCACTCAGTATTAAAATCTCTAGGTCCTTCTATGAGCAACTCCCCTTTGGATCTAACTCAGTTTCCCAGTGGAGTCATCTGATGGGTCAAATTCATCATTCTGTCTCCTGGTTGGTCTGCTGGTGGGCCCTGTTAGCATCTGGTCCCCACTCTGAACCCATCAGACATGGCTGGGAAGTGGTATTGCCTGCCGCCCAGGACACCTGCTCCAAATCCAAAGGACAGTTGCGGTAGCACCCAGGGGTCATACCATACTTGCAGAACTTTAATGTCATCGTCCCTTGAATTTTGACCTGTTTATCAGTCTCATGTGAGGGCGTGCTAAGTCACTTCAGTTGTATCTGACTCTTTGCGACCCTATGGAGTGTAGCCCACCGAGCTCCTCTGCCCATGGGATTGTCCAGGCAAGAAGACTGGAGTGGGTTGCCATACCCTCCTTCGGAGGCTCTTCCTGGCCCAGGGATCGAAACTGCATCTCTTATGTCTCCTGCACTGGGAGATGGCTTCTTTACCAATAGCGTCACCTGGGAAGCCCGTTTATGAGTCTTCTTTCCAGCTAAAAGAGAGGAAAGGGATTGTTCTGTGCCTCTTTATCTGAGCCCCTGGCGAGCACCCCGTCACCCAGAATCTTTGTTAGACTGCAGCATCCCCGGCCTCACAGCAAACCTACTGACTCAGTCTTGGGATGACTGAAGCCCAGGCATCTTTTCTTCCCACAGATGCCCAGAACTGGCAGTGCTTCAGGACATATGTGTTCAAAGCTGACCAGCCTCCAGGGTCCACGTCACTCTGGAAGGAGCCTCTCCTCCACTTTATTTGACGTCTTCTGGTCTGAGGGGCTCCTTCCTGAACCCAGCTTCCTTTTCTTTTCTTTTTTTTTTTGGTCTGTTCCCTGAAGCATTTGGGTCTTAGTTCCCCTATCAGGGATTGATCCCATGACCCCTGCTTTAGAAGTGCAGTCTTAACCACCTGACTTCCAGGGAAGTCCCAAGAGCTCCTTTTGATTCCCATCTTCTCTATCTCCCAGCTTAGGCGGGTAACATCATTTGCTGAACCCATTTCTGGCTGTTTAGAGTAAGACTCGACTTCATGTGATTTTTCGGAGAATTAAACTCAGTAACACATGAAAGGAAAACTGGCTTCCCTCCCTGCCTCTGGTCCTCGGCAGGCCTTGACTTTGTAAGGAAATTAACACATGCCTTTTTTATTCTTTTCAGCTACTCAGAGGTGATGTTGTCCCTAACGAGACCTGGATTTCAGTACCTCTTGTCTGTTTTTTCTTATGATCCAACTAAACATGCAGGTAAAGTTTCCTTTTTATTCTTTTTCCGGTTGCCTTGTTTCCTGATTTCTATGACGGGGATAGCATTATTTTCTCCTACTTTATCTCATGGGAGGCATCCTGCTTATATACATGAAGCCTGTGTCAGCCGTGATGGGGGGATGGGATGCGTTGGACTGATGCCAACAAATACACACAAATACATTTTCATAGGAAGATGGGGTGAGAGGTGCATGTGGGAAGGTAGGAGGTGGGCAGGAAAATCTCTAAACTGTTGCTGTTTTTTAATTGCTGGAATTTTACAATTTATTGCATGTTAAAAATGTTCTTGTTCAGTCACTAGGTTGTGTCCAACTCTCTGCGACCCCATGGACTGTAGCACGTGTTAAAAATAACTAGTGTAAAAGGGATGTTTTCTTCTGGATTCATTTCAATGTGTTTGAACATTAACGCTTGACCTTTTAAGTCCTGGCTTTTCAGGAAGACGTGAAAACCAAGTGCATAGACTTTCAATTCGTAAACATTCCCTTTTTGATTTTCAGTGGAGCTTTTTAAAAAGTGCCTTGTTTTATACATATTAATGTTAGTTTTTTTTTCTGTTTGAAGAAGTCAGATCTTAAAAACTCATTAAAAGATGAGACCTAGTGTCCATAATTAAGTCTGGGAACAGTCAGATGGAAATAAAAACTAAGGGAGACAGACATCAGCCCCGCAAATGTGATTTAGCAACTTACTGACCAGAGAGATGTTAATACATCTTTCCTTTGTGTGTTTGTGTGTGCTCAGTCATGTCCAGCTCTTTGCAACCCCATGGACTGTAGCCCGCCTGGTTCCTCTGTCCATGGGATCTACCAGGCAAGAATACTGGAGCAGGTTTTTATTTCCTTCTCCAGGGGATCTTCCTGACCCAGGGATGGAACCTGTGTCTTTCATGTCTCCTGCACTGGCAGGCAGATTCTTTACCACTCTGCCACCAGAATATTATTGACTGAGACATTTCAGAATTCACTTACATAACAAATTGCCAGTCACAGGTGTTAGTTTCAGCAAAAATCCCCCAGTCACTACTGATCCCTTCCTGAGCAGTAGGCCTAAGGAAGGGCCTGTGGGAAGGAGGCTCTGTCTGGGGTGGAGGCTCAGAATCCCTTCTAGAACGGGGCAGAAGCTGTTTCCTTTAAAGTGCCTGCAGCAAAATGGGCAGAGTGTGTAGAATGAGGGTCAGTGCATGGTCGAAAATCTTTACTCTGGAAGCAGGAAGTCCCAGGGGAATCTGTGCATGAACTCCACGCTCACGTCCCTGTTCCCAAGTCCCATGACTGACTCAGTGTCTCATGTAAGCTGGAGGTGTGCATCTGCCATTACCAGTCGTAAGCTGGTCTTTGGTATAAGATGTGCAAAATAAGCAGCAGAAAACGTGTCCTATCCTCACCTGTTTGGATAATCGAGTTGTATGTGGAATGAATATCCCTAGGTCATTGGGAATAAGCTGGGAAGTGGGCCCTGAAGGCTTCTTTCTCTTTAGAATTAGATCTATAGAACTTACTCTTCACCGTGTTTCTCTTTCACTTAGGTCCACCATTTTATGTTACAGATGGTGAAGTTGAAAAATTGTTTGGTAAGTTATGGATGTGTGCTATAACTTTTGAAGTAAAGTCAACTGTTTTCAGCTTTTAGCAAACTATTAATATCTCAAGTACTTAACAGTCCAAAGCCATTTTATTGGAGACTATTTTAATCTCCCCAAAAAGGGACCCATCTCTGTAATATGCCTTTTTAGGTAAATGGTAGATTTATGTTAAAGACACCTCAATTCTTCTAGAGAGATGGTATATTTATTTTAACTCTTAGGAGTTAAAAATGATAATAACCATTCAGAGTTGAGAAAATGTACTCTCAGTATTTTCCCATTTTCATTAAGAAAGGAAAAATCTTCAGTACACACTGTTTTTAAAATCACTTGATATGTTTTTGAAGAATTGATCATATTCATCATAAAATTTTAACTTGCCACTTTCTTTTTGTTTCAGGTTCAGTATGCAGTATTCAATGTCTAGAGAAGGTTGATATTTTTGAAGAAAAACATAAAAGTTGGGGAATTGACCAGATTATTGAAAGGTTATATCTATTTACAGAAAAGTAAATGAGACCTAAATAGAAGCAAATAATATCAAAATGTTTTTGAGCAATTGAAAATTGTGCTAAGGCATGAAAATGGATGACTTTTGGGGAAAAAATTGTTCACAAATCATATTGTAGATCTTTGCTAAAAAATGCTTATAACTTTTTAGAAAAAGCACATATTTTGGAAAGGAGCGTATGGCTGAGAATAAAAGATTATACTTGCGTGTCTTACAGATTGTAAGAATTTTTTACAATCAACATGTATTATATAATTTAAAAAGAAATGCAATGTATATAACTTAAATATAATAGAAAAAATGGTATCTTTATGAAATTTAGAAACATTGAGGAGATGTAACACTTTTAATAGGGTTCAAGGTAAAAGCTAGCCATCTAAGACATTATAATAAAACATTAATTTTTACTATAAACCCTCAAATTGTACTAAATCCTAGCATTTCTTTTCACATTTTTCTTCTTATATAATTTTATATGCGACAGAATGAAGAAAAAAATTTTTTAACTAATGAAATTGACCACTCTATATGGAACAAAATATTTTTCCCACTGTAAAAATAAACTGTATTTAGAAGTTTTTTTCCTGTGTTTGGCAGTTTTTTGTTTCTCTTAATTTAATCTTGTTTAAATGATAGTCTTGAGAAGTGAGGTGTACTTAGGGCTGGGTTCATGTCTGTTCATTATGACAGTTTAGATTCAGAACTTTTCAGTTTTCACTAACAGTCACATTTTGTTAAATCAGACGTTCCTCTCTTACTGCACTACCTAATACCTAAACGATTTAGCTTGTTTAGCTCATCTTAGTAGGCTTGTGTGTATTAGGAAAATTATTTAATGGTGTGTGTGTGAAAGTTTGAGAAGCGTTGAAGTGTCCAGGTTCTCATTTCCAGCCATACAGCTCCAGCTCATTTTTCTGTGGGTACTCACCTTCAAGCCTCTACCACTCACCCCTCGCCACCAATCCCTCACCGCTGGAGCCAAGCAGATAGTGGGGACGAGTTTATGAAATTAGATAGGCTGGAAGTCAAGGTGCCCTTGGGGGAAAGCAGAGCTGGAGACGCCACCAGAGCCCAGATCGGGTCCAGGGAATCACGCAGGTGACAGGGGCCTGCCTATTACGGAGGTGCCCCGAGACTGGCCCGAAACTCAAAACTCACCAACCCAGGAGGGGTTCAGGTTGGCAATGGTAGCAAGGTTTTGCTCCTGTGAGCTCACAAGCCCGAGCTAAGGCGGCTTCTGTCTTTGCTCCTTCTCGGTTCAAAGGCTGCATCTTTCCTCCTGGACTGAGATGCTTCTAGTCTATGCCACTTGCTCTCTTCCTGCCTCTCTGCTCGTTGTCAGGTACACTCTGCGATATCCCTGGACTTGTTCTGGGATTCCTTCTCACTGCATGTATGTGGCGTGCCTTCCCCTACCTGCGCTGACTCCATCCCCAGACTCCACGGCCTGTCGCCCTGCGCCCCCTTTCTGCTCTCAGCGCCTGAGCTGGGCCTCCATTTCCCCTCCTCTTCCGCCTGGTACTTTGCACAGGAGTCAGCCACGACCGCAAGACCCATTCTTCAAACCCTTTGCCCCCTTTGGGGCTCCTTCTAGGTGGAAGCAGGAAGAGATGGTCGTGCTATTCCTGGACCCTCTAAGGGAGGAGTGTTGGAGGAAAGTACAGAGGAAATTCATGGAGACGTCACCACGGAGGAGGAAAGATTCTTCATAGCAAACTCAGAGTTAGACTCAGGGAATTTCTTTTATTAATCATCATGTGTGTATATGTGACAAGGTTTATACTCTATAAGGTACTTGAGAAACCTTTCAAAATGGACTTTAGAGATAAGCAACTGATTAGCATGGTTCCTGGATAAATGCTATTTTCCTAACAATGCTATAAATACTAGAGAACCATCAAAGGATAGGTATAACATTGGGGTTTGCTGCCTGTATGTAGCATCCTTTTAAGTGTTCATTAATTCATCCATTTAAAAAACATGTGTTGGAAGAAAAGCTATGATCAACCTAGCCAACATGTTAAAAAGCAGAGACGTTACTTTGCCGACAAAGGTCAGTCTAGTCAAAGCTATGGTTTTTCCAGTGGTCGTGTATGGGTGTGAGAGTTGGACCATAAAGATGGCTGAGCACTGAAAAATTGATGCTTTTGAACTGTGGTGTTGGAGAAGACTCTTGAGAGTCTCTTGTACTGCAAGGAGATCCAACCAGTCATCCTAAAGGAAATCAACCCTGAAAATTCATTGGAAGGACTGATGCTGAAGCTGAAGCTCCAATACTTTGGCCACCTGGTGCGAAGAACTGACTCAATGGAAAAGACCCTGAAGCTGGGAAAGATTGAAGGCGGGAAGAGAAGGAGACGACAGAGGATGAGACAGTTGGATGGCATCACCAACTCGATGGCCATGAGTTTGAGCAAGCTCCAAGAGCTGGTGACGGACAGGGAAGCCAGGCATGCTGCAGTCCATGGGGTCACAAAGAGTTGGACATGACTGAGAGATTGAACTGAGAACTTCCCTGGTGGTCCAGTGGTAAGATTCCACATTTCCACTGCCGGGGGACAGAGGTTCCATCCCTGGTGGGGGAAGTTCCACATGCCACACATAGTGAGGCCAAAAAAAAATAAAATTAAATAAAAAATAACGTGTTGGTCTCCCTCTGAGTACACGGGCAAGCACTGGGCACCGCTCTTTGGAACTTAGTTTCTCTCTTCAGAAAAGGAAAGAAGGGATGAAGATAACAATTTTAAGATTAGATAGAAAGGGAAATTGGACTCCATACACTTGGTAAAGTAGAAAAAGGATAAAGTAGAAAAATGACAAGTGGGGGTGGGGGGTTGGGTGGACAGGAACCTGGAGCAGTATCCCAGCTGTGAAAGACTGCAAACCTTCACGTTTTTAGGTCTGAAGCTCTGCGTCACGGAGAAGGCCTCAGCTCCGGATCAGATGCCACAAAGTTAGATTTCCATACTTTACCGATTAGAGTCTTGATAGCAAATGGTTGGGGTCGATTGTGTGTATATGTGCCACAGTGCTTTTCCGGAACCACTGTGCTGTCTCCTGGGACAAGAGGGAGACCGATTATCGGGAACATTCTTGAAGAAGGCGGCTTTCTCGCAGGTTTGTCTGGTGTAACTTGCTGAACACCTCCAACCTCTTGGCGCCGTACCGCCGGCTGCCACGCGAGGGCAGCACAGCATGAAGAAGAAGGCGGTCCTCCCCCGGCGGAGCTGCGCCGAGGATGGAGGCTCCGTCAGTCAGCTGTGAGTGGTCTTTGGATTCGTTCTAAAACAATGTGGGAGCAGAGACAACTTAAAGGCACGTCAAGCATCCACCAAACCCGTCTGGAAAGCGTCTTGCGCAGGTAACACACCACAGACTTGGTCTAGATCTTTAACTAGAGGTCTAACTGTTCCCCCGCAGTAATCAATCACTCGCTGCATGCGGTTACTGAACTGAAAAAGGATGTGCTGTAAGTTTAAAATACACACTGGACTAGCACTAATAAAACAGAGACTGTAAAATATCTCATTAATAATTTTTACAGTGATTATATGTCATAAGGATAGCATTTTTAATATTTGGGATTAAATAAAATACTCAGATGCAATTAAGCTCAGTTCACTAGCTTCTTTTTCCTTTTTATTTTTTAAATTTTTTTCCATTTATTTCTATTAGTTGGAGGCTAATTACTTCACAATATTGTAATGGGTTTTGTCATACATTGACATGAATCAGCCATGGAGTTACATGTATTCCCCATCCTGATCCCCCCTCCCACCTCCCTCTCCACCCGATTCCTCTGGGTCTTCCCAGTGCACCAGGCCTGAGCACTTGTCTCATGCATCCAACCTGGGCTGGTGATCTGTTTCACCCTAGATAATATACATGTTTCGATGCTGTTCTTTCGAAACATCCTACCCTCGCCTTCTCCCACAGAGTCCAAAAGTCTGTTCTGTACATCTGTGTCTCTTTTTCTGTTTTGCATATAGGGTTATCATTACCATCTTTCTAAATTCCATATATATGTGTTAGTATGCTGTAATGTTCTTTATCTTTCTGGCTTACTTCACTCTGTATAATGGGCTCCAGTTTCATCCATCTCATTAGAACTGATTCAAATGAATTCTTTTTAACGGCTGAGTAATATTCCATGATGTATATGTACCACAACTGCCTTATTCATTCGTCTGCTGATGGGCATCTAGGTTGCTTCCATGTCCTGGCTATTATAAACAGTGCTGCAATGAACATTGGGGTTCACGTGTCTCTTTCAGATCGGGTTTCCTCAGTGTGTATGCCCAGAAGTGGTATTGCTGGGTCATATGGCAGTTCTAATTCCAGTTTTTTAAGAAATCTCCACACTGTTTTCCATAGCAGCTGTACTAGTTTGCATTCCCACCAACAGTGTAAGAGGGTTCCCTTTTCTCCACACCCTCTCCAGCATTTATTGCTTGTAGACTTTTGGAGAGCAGCCATCCTGACTGGCGTGTAATGGTACCTCATTGTGGTTTTGATTTGCATTTCTCTGATAATGAGTGATGTTGAGCATCTTTTCATGTGTTTGTTTCTTTTTCTTTTTTAAAATGTGGCTACTAGGAAATTTAATATTATATACGTGACTCTCATCATATTTCTATTAGACAACCTTAATTCTAAAAACTTTCCACTTTTAGGTGGAATTTAGATTTCCTGAATGTTTTTTCTTAAGGATTACTGCAGAAAGCAATTTCTATTTGGAATGAAAATATATTATAGTCTGAAATTATAATATTAAGTTGATTACTATGTCCCAATACACAGATAATCTTTGAATCTTGTAACACTCGGTAGGAAAATGTTCTTTCTTAGCTTACATTAAATCTTCCTCCAGGAGATTTAATGGGATAAAGATTTCCTGTTTTCTCAGAAGTCTAGCAAATAAGAGGGTGAATGATCATGGTAATTATCTCTAAATGAGGAGAAATGATCTGTTAAGTGATTTTGCCAAAGACAATGTTCATGC